CAACAACTGTGTATATTGTGGGAGAAAGATAAGGCTTTCTGCTCCTGGAAAGATTTAAAAAGCCTCAAAAACCCTATACAGGCTCACTATGAGTTGAAACCAACTCAATGGCACTTAACAACAACAACTGTATGTTATTGTCATCTGGGATTACAGGTAATACTGAGTAATTCGAGTAAAACATTTTACAAATCCACAGAGTGCTCCGAGCCTAAATGAATGGGCTGAAAATAAATTTGGTTACTTAGCCACGTTGTTGTTGTTAGTGCCATCAGGTCGTTCCGATTCTTAGCTACCCTGTATAGGGTTTCCGAGGAGCAGCTGGTAAGCTCAAATCACTGACCTTGTGGTTCAAACTGACTTTGCAATCGAGTGCATTAATCCACAGTGCCACATCAGCACTCCCTACTTTGCCATAGTATTTGGTTTATTAAATGGTAGGCCAGGCATAGAGCTCTGTGACTCTGGTTTTTCTGGCATTAACAGAACTGTTTCATTCATTCTGACAGCTTCATTTGTATATGAGAGCCTGCCCCTCCTGGCTTTTGACTGTCTCGTAGTAATATGCATTAATTTAAAGTAAGTGACGCTAAGCTGATTACTTGTTGGGCATTTGAATTGCCTTTTCAGTGTGCTGTATAATGTAATACATGTTTTCCTCACTTATCTACTTACCAATCAACTTATTTATAGGCCATCTGTAAGATTGGTATCCGACCTCCTCTAACTTCACAAGGGGGGGAGGAAAAAAGACTCAAGGTCAACAGCCCAAGGTTGATTCCTATGAAACAGAAATCAGACCTGCCTCATCTTGACAACCTTTTTGCTAATCCTGACACCAACCATCCCTCCCACTTTGTTTGGTAATTCGTTGCAGTGACCACACAGAGCTCAGGATTATGGGGTTTATTAGGGAAGCAGCAAGTGACAATTCAGGACCAGAAATGATTCCGAACACATTTCTGTGGTTGAGCCGGCAGGCTGGCCTCTCTCTGACTCTCAGCCTCTCTCGGGCCCAGTCAGCACAGCTTCTGTCTGTCCTGCTTGAGCAAGCCTAGGGGCACCCCACTGTGTCAGTAGGGCTTGGCTTGAAGACTCAGCCCTTTAGCTTGGGGGTAGGGCGTGGGGGTGTTGTCAACAAGCTGTAAGTGATCTGATATTTATCACTTAGGACCATAGTAAAAAATCAACTGTATGAGTATTTTGCTCTCTAACGACATGCATCTGGCAATAACAGATGCCTAGGTGATAGACTAGAGGAACGCTGGCTGTGATGATCAGGATTATGTGCCAATGTGGCCATGATTCTCAGTGTTTGGCAGTTCTGTAATGACGTTGTCATCCTCCACTTGGTGGTCCAATGGGTTATCATCCATTTTTGCATGATACTAATTTTAACATAACGACCTGGTCTTTGGAATCTCACCATGAGGAGTTGGGTATACTCTAAGCACACAATATATTGTTATCTCAGTAAAATGCATTAAGATCATCTTACAAGCAACTGAATGTCTGATACTTTCTTTATAATCTTGGGGAATAAAAGGAAATCGAATGATATTTTCAGAGAGTTATAATTTTTAAGTAATGTGCTTTTTTAGATTTGTATCCATTTTAGAAGGTAAATATGAAATGATTCCTATGGTTTATGTCAGTGTTCTGATGTTGTGCTGTAGGATAAGCACTGAACTGCTAGCTGAAAGGTTGGCTTCAAACTAACCAACTGCTCCTCAGAAAATCTGTACAGGGTTGCTAGGAGTCGGGAACCAACTGAACAACAATGGTTTATACAAGTGTAATAAGTTTCTTTATCAAGGATTGTTTTGCTCTAGGCTTTTAAGATGCTGTTTTAATTGATGCTTTGAGACAGTCACTTACTTCAGAGTGTGCAGTTCACCCGAGAAGGTCGGCACTCACCCAGTGACTTGGTATTTCAGAGGAAAAGAAAGAAGAGTATGCTGGCGTCGTTCTCCGCTCACAAGTGTCAGTCCTAAGAGTGCCGTCACAATTTGTAGGAGCATTTGTTTATAGGACAGTTGGTGGTGGTGATGATGCACCGTGGAGTCGGTTCTGACTCATAACGACCCCGTTATAGGGTTTCCAAGGCTGTAAATCTTTACAGGAGCAGAAAGCCTCATCTTACTCCCACAGAGTGGCTGGTAGTTACGAACTGCTGGCCTTGAGGATAGCAGTGTGATTCATAACCACTACGCTGCTAGAACTCCTTATATATCAGTTAGGTGGCGAGTATTCTGTAATACCTGTTTTCTTGCAGCTTGTGCAAACTAACAAGGCAGTTCTGTGCAGGACCTCTTTTAACTCTTCAGTTAGAGTTCCATCCATCTGGCTCATATTACTGAGTGCTCACAGCTGTTACAGTTGTTGGGGGTACCGCAGTATTCTTTCTCATTTATGATGCATCGTTATCTTTTGAAGGGATTTGAAATGATTTTAGAGATGAGCAACATAGTCAAGAAACTTACACTAAAAATTTTAATACCTGTACCCCCTTAGAGTCCTAGTGTGGCGCTGTAGGATAAGCACTAGACTGCTAACCACAAGGTAGGCAATTCTATCCCACCAGCCGCTCCTTGGAAACCCCTTACAGGGTCGCTATGAGTTGGAACTGACTCAGTGACATTTCACAACATCAACATCTCTGTTATTCTCCCCAAATCACCCATTGCCTGTTTTCTCTTTCATAGGTTATTTCTTATGAGGATCATGGATATCCCGTATCTAAATCTGGAAGGACCAGACTGTAAGCACCTATGTGTTTTCTCATTGCATGTGCACATATGAGTGTGTGGTCTGGCAGGGATGACTGGAAAAGTATTATTTAAGAAAGAGCTTCATTCATGAATTTAAAAGTGGGAGTGGTTTTGTGGTTGATGTGGTTGTATGCTCTTGTTAACCAGAGGGGAGTGGCTTGGGCCTTGATTAGCTCATCTCTTTCTTTACATTTTCCAGTTTCTGCATGAGTTCATTTAAAAAAATATGTATCTTTTCATCATGGTTTCATTTCACTCAGAACTTCAATTTTATCATTTTCTCTAAATACTTAATAGCTTTTAAGATATGCTAGCTGCATTAGTGACTCAGTACAATTTCTGTTTCCAATTATTAGAGTTTAGTTGGCAAATTTTTATTTTTCATATAAAACCTTGGAAGGAACAGTGTTTTGGGGAGATGGTTGCTTCATATTTTCTTCTGCTTATTCTCTACTTTATCCACTCCATCTATTTTTCTTCTCCTTGGCTCTGTTTCTAGTCTTGGTGTGTTTGCCATGAAATCTGCATCCCCATCCCTTGTCTCTGTTGAATCAGTTGTGATTCCTAACCACCCATCTGCGACAGAGTAGAATTGCCCCATGGGACTTCTCAGGCTTTGATCTTTACAGAAGCAGATTGCCCAGGTCTCTAAGACAGCATTGCTGGTGGGTTTGAACCGCCAGCCTTTTAGTTAGCAGTTGAGTACTTAGCAACTGCACCACCAGGGCTCCTTAAAATAAGCTACACCAAAAAACAAACGTGTTGCTGTTGAGTGGATTCCGACTTAGAGCATCTCAATAGCAGAGGGTTGAACTGCCCCACAGTGGTCTGCCACGTCTTTATCCTGCAGAGCAGCTGGTGGGTTTGAACCACTGGTCTTTCGGTTAGCAGCCAAGAGCTTAGCCACTGTGCCACCAACCGAAGGACAACCCCACTGTCACTGAGTTGATTCCGACTCACAGTGACCCTACGTACGGTTCCCAAGATTGTAGAATTTTACAGGAACAGATAGCCTCAGCTTTCTCTGGCAGAGCAGCTGGTGGGTTTGAACCACTGACCTTTCAGTTAGCAGCCCAGCGCCTAGCCCACAGTGCCACTAGGGCTCCTTAAATAAGCTGCTTGGCTATAAAACTGGCTGGATTTTACTTGGTGGTAGTGATCTGTCAGTGACAGTGTGTGGGTGCACTTTGTTGCATTCCAGGTTAGATACATGTCACTCACAACTTCTGTTGGTGTCATTGAGTCCTTTCCAACTCACGATGGCTCTGGGTGGGTTTGAACCACCAACTTTTTGGCTACTAGTTGAGCGCTTGACCGTTGACACCGCCCAGTAGATAGCCAAGGAAGTGGAAGTTTACAGTGTTTCCATCCCTGGCTCAGTGTTGCCCAATGAAGTGACAGAGCTTACTGAAATGACAAGTTTGTGACTCTAAGGAACAGCTTCTACGGAAAACAAAACGAGGCTATTTAATTTGGACAACTCATTTGTTGTAATAAAGATACATGTAACTAGATTCACACAACAAAAGTTAACTGAAAAGAACAGCCTGGTTTTTATTTTATTTTATTTTATTTAAAACAACAACAAACAAACGATTGCCTGGTAGCTTCATGAGAAGAGAGAGGGTTTCTGCCTGAGATTGCTGAGAGTCGAACCCTAAGCATACCTGTAGGAGTTGCTGGGTTGACCTGAGACTCTGATCCTTCCCTAAGCTAGCTTGGGCATCTTATTTATCATCCCCAGACCACTGGTTCACTGGTTGAGTGACTGCATTGATTCCCTAGGGCTACCCCTCCATCCTGTGGTACCAATGGCAGCTCCACTATCCTCCAGGCTACTTTGGGAGCTGGTCTTCCCTTTTCCTAAAGAATAATACAGTTGCTGCTAAGTAGGAGCTCTGGTAGTGTAGTGGTTACAAATCGGGCTGCGAACTTTAAGGTCAGCAGTTCAAAACTACCAGCTGTTGCGTGGGAGACAGATGAGACTTTCTGCTCCCGTAAAGATTTACAGCATCGGAAACCTTGTACAGGGTCGCTATGGGTCAGAACCGACTCGCTGGCACTTAACAACAACAAAACCATGTTCCTTTGGGGGCACACATGTCAACCCACTTAGCCATCTTCAGCTATAACCTTTTCATCAAACACATCTGTCTTACAGTGCAGCCTCAGCGTGAAAATGTTCTCCACGTGACCTTCCCCAAGGAGTGGAAAACCAGCGATCTTTACCAGCTTTTCAGTGCCTTTGGTAAGTAAATCACAAGTCAGGTGGACTTGCTCAGCTTGGCTTTTCTTTTGTCCTTGGTGGACAAAGATATGCAAGGTTTTATTCTCATTTGCAGACCTTGGTGTTTTTTTTAAAGTTTTTATTGTGAATTATGTGAAAATTTTCTTGGGAGAGCATTAGCTTTACATTCATCCTATCATACATTGTTTCATTGCATGATTACAATCCCCTCCATGCATCATCAAACAACCAAAGGCTACACCCCACAAACCTGCCCCTCGGTCATCAGCACACAGCCCCTCTCCCTCTCTGGGTCTAGAGTCCCCAGCTGCTCTCCTCGTCATCGTCTCTGCCTCCATCTCTGGCATCATTGCTTCTCTGAGTAGGATCCCGCACTCTGCTCTTCTCCCTTGATGGTCCTAGGAACCTCTGCTCTTGGACTGCAAAGTCAACCATTCCCCTCCTTTTGCTACAAAATATCTACCTTTACATTTCCAACCCTCACAATCAGTCCAAATACTATTATTCACTATTGTACCACAAGAGTCTTATCCCCATCTCCCTTCATCAGCCCTGTTCAGACAGATTGGATACTACGCAGTGGAGATTCTACCTTCCTCCACAGCTGCTGGATCTAGGCTTCCTCTTGAAAGCTTGTAAGCCAGTCACTTCTCTCCTTTGTAGCCCCTCCACTTTGGGTAGCCAATGTCTAACTTGCCCACCCCTGTCTACCCTGTGTATCTAGGGGGTGAGAATGGTCCTCACTGTAAAGATTTGTTCCCTCTTTTGAGGAGCTGCATCCATAGGTTGTAGGTCAAGTTCATCAAATTGGATCAGATTACTCTTTCTTTACCTGTTCTTTCTTCTTCTAGTCAACTTCTGACCATCCAGCCATTGTAGCCAGGTCAAGTGGGTATTATCTGCAAGTGTGGGTGTTCTTGTGCATCCCTCCCTGACTTCTTACTAGCTGGATGCTTCACTCTCTGCTCTAGTCATCTGTGGCCATGTCATAGTCTCTGGGCCCAGGAGTTCCCACAGACCTTGGTTTTTTTATTTGGTATAGCACTGCCTTGGTGCTGAATAACCTGAGAAACTTTTAATGACTTTAGCAACAGGCTGCTAAGGAGCTCTGGTAGCATAGTGGTTAGGAGTCGGGCTGCTAACCTTAAGATCAGCAGTTCAAAACTACCTGCTGTTCCACAGGAGAAAGATGAGACTTTCTGCTCCCGTAAAGATTTACAGCCTCAGAAACCTTATACAGGGTTGCTATGAGTCAGAATCAACTCCATTGCACACAACCACCACCACCACCACCAACAGCAGCAGGCTACTAGTAAGCCATAGAAGTTAAGGTACAGTTACTATCACAGCTTTTACCTATGACCTGGGAACAAAGTCTAGGCTGATGAGCAATCATTTTTAAGATTAGATTCTGAGAAAATGTTTGTTTTGTAATGACTGCTGGTCTTTGTTCAAAGCTGACCAAACACAGGTTGTTTTACATCCCAGGGCTTGTGGTGTATGTGAGGTCGGACAGTCCTTCTTTTTATATCACATTAGGAGGCAATTAGGTTAATTCACACACACACATATGTATATGTATGTGTATATGTATATATATGTATGTGTGTGTGTATGTGTGTGTATGTGTATATGTATGTGTATGTGTATATGTGTGTATATGTGTATGTATATGTATGTGTGTGTATGTATGTGCATGTGTGTATGTGTATGTATGTGTATGTATATGTATGTGTGTATGTGTGTATGTGTGTGTATGTGTATGTGTGTGTATGTGTATATGTGTATGTATATGTATGTATATATATGTGTATGTGTATGTATATGTATGTATATTGCTGTTGTGAAGTGCTGTTGAGTCAGTTCCAACTCATAGCAACCTTGAATAGGGTTTCCAAGGAACAGCTAATAGGTTTGAACTGCTGACTTTATGGTTCCCAGTTCAGTGCTTATTTTGGCGCACCACACCAAGAGTCCACTGCACTTAACAACAACTACATTAAGATGCTTGGTAAAGTGGAAGGTCAGCACGAAAGAGAGAAAGACCCCCAACGAGATGGACTGGCTCAGTGGCAGCGGCAAAACAACAGTTCTGAGGTTGGCACAGGACCTGGCAGTGTTTCGGTCTGTTGTGCGTAAGGTCTCTGTGAGGTAGTATCCATTGACAGCACCTAACAACAACAAATAATTAAGAATGTGTACTATAGTCCTTAAGGAGCTCTGGTAGCGTAGTGGTTACGAATCGGGCTGCTAACCGCAAGGTCAGCAGTGCGAAACTACCAGCTGTTCCACAGGAGAAAGATGAGGCTTTCTGCTCCCGTAAAGATATACAGCCTCGGAAACCCTGTACAGGGTTGCTACGAGTTGGAACCGACTCCATGGCACATAACCAACCAACCAACTATAGTCCTTGGAGTCTTGCTGTGGCGCTGCTGGCTTAATGGGTCAGACTGCAAGGCTGATGGTTCAGGCTCACCAGCTGCTCCTCGGAAACCCAATGTAGGATCGCTATGAGTCAGAGCCAGCTTGACGGCACTTAACAACAACTACAGTTCTTAGGAGTCCTGATAGTGTAGTGGATTGTCAGCTGGGCTGCTAACTGCAAGGTTAGCAGTTCAAATCTACCAGTAACTCCGAGTAGTCATGTGTACACAAATCTAAAGATATAAAGCCTCAAAAACCTTAAACAGGGTCGCTATGAGTCAGAACCAACTTAACAGCACATAGCCACCACCACCAATGTAAGAGTCCTTAAGGAGCTCTGGTGGCATAGACTCCTATGTGCAAGGTCAATAGTTCAAGTCCACCAGACGCTCCACAGGAGAAAGATGAGGCTTCCTGCTCCGTAAAGATTTACAGGCTTGGAAACCCTGTGCAGGGTCGCTGAGTCAGAACTGACTCAAAGGCACATAACCACCACCACCACCATTACAGCCCTAAAAGCAACCACTGAAAATTAATGTAAAAAGATAGAACTTAAAAGATACTAATAAATACTGCATTAGTTTAAGATGTTTGCACAGTAATACTGCCAATGCTATTCTGATGGTGCCCATAGGAATGGCACACGAGAATACCCACCTGGCCGTTGATTCACTAACCCTGATTCAAACACATGAGAAATGTGACGTCTTTAAGGTTTTTCTATGAAGAAAGAACGTAAACAGACTTTAGGGTGGGGAAATCATCAGCTGTCAACTTTTTTCTGTGGCTAACACATTTGAGGTGTTTATTGCTTTAATGCTTAGCAATTTCCAATGTCCCAGATACAAGCCAAGACAATCTAACATATAAGTTAGCACCTACTTCCAAAGAGAAATGGAATGGAGTGACTCACTTCAGTGGCTTCATCCTTGGTAAAGTGGAGGGTCAGTGAAAAAGAGGAAACCCCCCCAATGAGATGGATTGGCACAGTAGCAGCGGCGATAGGCCTCAAGCGTACCAACAACCGTGAGGCTGGTGCAGGACGGGGCAGAGTTTGTCTCGCTTGTTCTTTGGGTTGCTATGACTCGATGGCACCTCGCAACAACGACACTGTGTATCCTCAAAGGACTAGTATGTGTATTTTGAAATACTGAGTTTATCAAAGATGATAAGGTGCTAATTCTTTAACATATAGAATAAAAAACAGATGTAAAGTAAGATTCCCATTTAAGTTAGCCTTATTTTTTAAAACTTAATTATAGAAAAGGAAATAGGAGTCCAGGTGTGTATGGCACCTTAGGATAAGCACTCGATCTCAAGGTCGGTATGAACCACAAGGTCGGTAGTCCAAACTCAGCAGCTTCTCCTCCGGAAACCTTGGAGAGGGTCACTGTGAGTCAGAATTGCCGTTAAGTACATAGCTGCTAAGTGACCAGCCATTCTGGGGCAGAAAGATGTGGTTGTCTGCTTCCGTGAAGTTTTGCAATCTTGGAAACCCTTTGCTATGAGTTAGAGATGACTCTAATGTAAGGGTATTTTTTGGAAAGATAGAAATCAGACTGGAAGGAAGTATTATGCTGTTAGCACTGAGTGTCTTAAACAGGATTGGTACTCCTCTTCCTCATACAGCTTTTCTGTATTTTCTAACATAAGCATACTTTCCCTTAAAAAAATAGAAATTAAATAACTTTGTAAATTGAAAGACTTTACTCATTTGATTTTTAGAAAAGACAGGTTTATTTCTGGAAAGTTAGCCTAACCAGTTCAGAGTCTAAGGTGGTTCCTGAAATCCTAAGCTAGCTTTTAAAAGGAAAACAAACAAACAGAAAATCTATAAACATGCATTTGAACGTCAAAGCTTGTTTCTAGTGAAAGCTTTTGCTATTGTTGCGGTTTTGCCTCTTGTATTGCTTTGCTTCTTTCATGGACTAAATTATATAGTCAGATTTTAATTGACCAAATTAAGTAAAATGCCTAAAGTGGAATTTTTTTCAGTTTAATTAAAAAATAAAAAGTTGTGTTTCTTGGGCATGGCATGTCTGTATCTTTTGTTTTCTCACCAGAGATAATAATAAAATCAGTGCCTATTTCATTGGCATGTCATGAGGATTAAACGTCGGAAGGCATATAGAACAGCATGTAGCATGTTGTAGCTCTTCAATCAATGCTGGCTATTATAATATGTCTCTTTAAAAAAAAACCCACACACACAGGTTACAGAGGTATCGAAATCACGTCATTTGGTTTGTCAAGGTGACCACTGGCATGCAGTGTAGACCTGCTCCACGGTGGTCTCAAGCATGTGACTTCTGTGGAAACATTGCCAGGCCTGTCTTCCAAGTTGTATCCCGGTGGGTTCATACCTCCAGTCTTTCAGCTAATAGTCAAGTGCTTCACTGTTTGTACCATTCAGGGATTCCAGTCAAATAATTGTGACTTTTTGTTGTTTTAAGAACATAGACAGCACACCGTTTGCCAATTCTGCCTTTTTTACACATGCATCTCAGTGACCCCTGTCACACCCATCGTGTTGTGTATCCCTTGCCTGGTTCTCTGAGTGACTTTCTTAGCTTGACGTTTTACTGTGCAGCAGAGGGGTAGAGGTGTTTCCTTCAATGGTGAAGCAAAGCCGGGGTCAGGTATTTCTAGCTGTCAGACGTTTTAGTGGAAATTCAAACAGTGATGTCTTCCAGCACTGTGTGCCCATTTTCTTTTCACTCCAGTCCTCTGTGTTTTTTCTTTCCCTGAAAAAGCTGGTAGGATCATCAAGTGTCTGTTTTCCCCCACTTCCTATTCTACTGCTCCTTTCTCTCCCGCTGACCCCCTTCGTTCTCCTCAGTGGTCCCATCTCTATTTTTTTGTTTGTGTTTAGCTTTTATTGTAGGTGGAGGTCCTGTTTTTAAACTCTATTGTTTTTGGAGGAACCTTGGCGGCTGTAACTGAAAGGTTGGGGGTTCATATCTACCGGATGCTCAGGAGAAAGATGTGATTGTTTACTTCTGCAGTGATGGTTGTTAGGTGCCGTTGAGTTAGTTCTCACTCATAGAAACCTTATGCTCACCAGAACGAAACACTGCCCGCTCCTGCACCATCCTTACAGTCGGTGCTGTGTTTCAGCGCATTGCTATAACCACTGTGCCCGTCTATCTTGCTGGGGGTCTTCCTCTTTTTTGCTCACCCCTCTACTTTACCAGACATGATGTCCTCTCTCCAGGGACTGGTTTCAAGTGATAACATGTTCGAAGGATGTGAGACCAAGGCTAGCCATCTTTGCTTCTAAGGAGTATTCTAACTGGACTTTGTTTTTCTGAAAGCCCATGGTGTGTTCAGTATTCTTTGCCAACACCGTAATTCAGAGGCACTTAATCTCCTTTGGCTTTCCATATTCATTATCTAACTTTAGCATACATATGAATCAATTGAAAATAACTTGGTTTGGGTCAAAGTGGCATCTTTGCTTTCTAATACTCTAGAGAGAGAAGTCTTTTGCAGTAGATTTGATTTCTTGGTTGCCGCTTCTGTGGCTGTGGAGTGTAGATCCAAGTAAAACGAAATCCTTGACAATGTCAGTCTTGTCTTTGCTTATCATGATGGTGCCTGTTGGTCGAGGTTTGAGGATTTTTCTGATCTGTAGTTTTTGATCTTCATCTGTAAGTGCTTCAAGTCCTCTTTGCTTTCAGCAAGCATATTGCAGATTATTGATGAGCCTTCCTCCAATCCTGATGCTACAGTCTGCATTCAGACCAGTTCCTCGGATTGTCTGTTCAGCGTACACGTTGAATGAATATGGTAGAAGGGATACAACCTTGATGCACACCCTTCCCGAGTTTAAACTTCAAGATTTCAGCATTGGAAACTCTGTGGAACAGCTCTACTCTGCCCTGTAGGGGGCGCTAGGAGCCAGAATGGACTCCACAGCAATGGGACACTCTTTTTTCCTGGTTTTCTTTCCCGTAGTAATCTTCTTAGGTCTTCTCTCACCAGCTGCTTTTTCTTGTCCCCCACTTTTACTGCCTACTTCCTCTACCCAGCCGTGATATAAGAATTTTTTTTTTTTATTACTTGCTGTATTTATTTATTGATTTGTTTCATGTCCCTCATTCTTAATTTTAAAAGTTTCTGTCTCTGAAGAGAAAATTGCTGTGTGTTTGGACTTCTGTCATCTCTGATTTTTGTTAGTGACCTTGATTTAAAATAAAGAATTCTGCAGCCCGGGCATAAGATTGAATTGAATGGTATAATGCCCTAGGATTTAATCTGGAAAAGATTTCCTTTTTGTGTGTTTGTTTTTAAATATACTTTGTTGCTATTATTAAGAATATACACACCAAAACTTAATACCGCTTCATTGTTTTGTTTTTAAAACAAGTTGCTCATAGCTTTATTCCCTCTTTTAGGAGTTTCGTTGTTAATCAGTTCTGACTCATAGCAACCCAGTATACGATTTCCACAGAGCAACTGGTGGCTTTGAACTGCCAACCTTGCAGTTAGCAGTTCAGTGCTTATCCTCCCATGGCATACCAGGACTCCTTTAGGAGCCTTGTTGTTAAGTGCTGTCGAGTCAGTTCCGACTCCTAGTGACCCTGTATAGGAATGGCTCGTGGGTTTGAACCACTGACCTTGCAGTTAGTAGTCTAGTGCTTATCCTACAGCACCATACCAGGACTCCATAGGAGTCCTGGCGGTGATTGAAGAATTAATCTGTGAACTGAAAGGTGTGTGGTTGACCTCACCAGCCACCCTGCTGGGAGTAAAGTCATAGCAGTCTGCTTGACTTCAGGGTCACTATGAGTTGGAATCAAACATCTTCAGAACAAGTTTTCTTCCCCCTTTTATTATACCCCACTCCCCTAACTGAGTTTGTCTCTTTTCCTGAAGATTGGAGCTATGTACCAGCTGTGGTAGATTGAAGTTTCAGCGGGCTAGCTCTCCACAGTACCGAGATCCTGATCAGATTGTAAACCAGCACCTCATCCCTCTTTAAAGTATAGCCCAGACTAATAACAATGTGTCAGAGATGCAAATTCAGTACGACAGCCGTGTAAGTGGTCAGCTGTTCACTTGACTCCTGATTCATTCTTACAGGTAACATTCAGATCTCCTGGATCGATGACACATCAGCATTTGTCTCTCTTGGCCAGCCTGACCAAGTACAGATTGGTAAGTGTTGTGGACATTTATTTTACATGTTGACCAAAAAGTTAGCTTCCGGTTTTCTTTTGTTTTTGTTTTAAGGTGATCTTTAAAGTAAAGGAAATAGACCATTAGTATCATGTATAGATAAGGAAAAGAAGAATAATTTGTTGGTTTATTAGATACCTACTTAAATATTTTTTCACTTCATTCTATTCCTTTTTCAGTGCCCATTTTCTTAAAACAAGGTACAGAGTGGCCCAGTTTAAGCCTTATTCTGAGACTTAGAAGTGTAGCTTGTTGAGAGGAATGAAAAACACCAAAAATGTCTGCCTTGAACTGCTGCACATCTCTGAGCTTCCTCTGTTTATTTATAACTTGTCCTACTGATAGTTGTGTGACCTTGGGCAAGTTACTTACCCTTGTTACGCTTCAGATTTGCTCTATGAATTGGAGATAGTAGTACTGACTGACTTTCTAGGATTGTGAGGGTCACACGAGATCACTTGAGGTTAATAAAGGCTGGCACTGCTTTAAATTTGTATTGTTTATTAAATACTAATAGAGTTCCATGACTCCAGGAGTAGTGTTGGGTGTAAGATGTGATGCTGTTGCTTACGAAATCCATCACTTTTTGCATAGAATTGTTTCTGCTACGGTGATCCATCCCCATACGGTTCCCAGAAATGGCAGCTTAGATTATCTAGATGCTAATGCGGTCAAATGATTAGGAAGCTAAAGGTACTAACAATCGGCAGGCCAGGCTTTTGAGGTTAAGATAATGAGTCATCCATGTGGTTTAAGGAATCCTGAACTTGAATTCCAGTCTCCAGTCTTCCCACGTGTGAGTTTGAGCAAGTTACTACTCAGTGTCCGCATGTCCACTTTCCACGAGGACCATGCTGGGGTGATGTTGCAGCATACCAGTGGGATGGAACTGGGATGCAGGCTTTGACCCAAGACTGCTCTAGGGACTGACTTTGGCTCCACCATTTGTCTGCCATGTCTGTGTGTGGGGGTTACATTAACTTCTGAGCCTCGGGTTCCTCAGTTGTAAGCAGGAGATGCTAATAATTGCTTTGCGGGATCGCTGTGAGAATTAAATGGGACCATAACCTTAAGTTCCCCATACAGAGACTGCACTCCACAGTCAGTTCTTGATAAATGGGGGTTGTTGTTATTAAGTGCTTATAGGGTTTCCTAGAAGCGGCTGGTGGATTTGAACCATCAACTTTGTAGTTAGCAGTCCCATGCTTATCCTAGTGCCACATCAGGACAAATAGGTGATTTTTTAAAGGTCAGTATGGCCTCCTTTGCTGTGAATAGTAAAAATGAGAATGTGTAAAGGGGCTCTGAAATCTTACAAAATGCTGGTTAGTGGTATGTATGTATTTGAAAATACAAGTGGAAGTCTTATTTATGTATATTGGATCTTAAAATTCCTTTCCATGTTTCTTTTATACCATATTTGAAGTCCAATAATGTTCGTTCCTTGACTTCTGATTCAAAGATTTGTCAAAGAGTAGTTTTTAAGTAAGTATTTTATTCAGTGATGACTGGAATCAGGAAGTTAGAATTGTTTTCAGAAACACATGTAGCCACAGAAGCACTCCATTGTCCTTGGGTGATGCCCATTAGTGTTGCCTCCCTGAGGGTAAGAATGAGTTTTCTTCTGCTGATAGAACCCTTCTCTAATGTTTGGCACATTCTGTGCTTGAGTACGTAAGTGTGTCTTGGAATAGGTAACTTGAAGAATAGGCCAACATCAAACTGACCCTTTTACCTGTTTTCTCCTAAATTAAGACGTAGATGTTATGTGGTTCTTGTTGTTATGTGCTCTTGAGTCCGTTCTGGCTCATAGCAACCCTGTCTAGGGTTTCCAAGGAGTGGCTGGTGAGTTTGAGCCACCAATTTTGCAGTTAGCTGTCTAGTGCTTATCCTACAGCACCACACCAGGATTCCATGTTACGTGGTGAGGTGCCATCTAGTTAGTTGAGACTTACAGTGACCCTATGTACAGCAGAATCAGATGTTGCTGAGCCTGCACCGCCTTCACAGTCATTGCGTGCTTGAGCTCATCTTTGCATCTACTGAGATTGGTCCCTCCTTATAACATGCCCAAAGTTAGGGAAACAAAGCCTCACCATCCTTATTTCTAAGGAACATTCTGGCACTTCTTGCAAGACAGATTTGTTCATTCTTCTGACAGTCCATGTTATATTTTCCGCCAATACCATAATTCAAATGCATCAATTCTTCAGTCTTCTTTTCTTCAAGAAGTTGAACACCTGAGACTATGACCCTTCGTCTCTCCCTTCAAGCCTGAAACTGAACTCACCTCCGTGGCTCAACTTTCAGCCAAACAACAGATGGGTCAAATGAGATGAACTATACATGCTCCTTAGGGAGACAGATACAGATACAGAACAAGCAACCATTCGAGATCAAAAGGGCAACATTTGATTTGATGAATCTGGCCATTTGCACATCCTGTGCCTTCGCCCATAGTGTTTCCTTGATCAGAACCCATCTTTTACTTAACTGTCTTCTTTCGTCTTCCAGGGTTTGCCTATGCCTTACCCCCTTTCTCATTTCAACTTACACGTCAGTTTCTCTGGTTGTCTTCTCTGCCTCCTGTTGTAGGGGATAAGATCCCATTTTCTTTGCTTACATGGCATCTTTTACATTCAGTTTGTCTTCCGACGTAGACTGTCAACTCTTGCAGACAGGGACCACATCTCCTGTGTTCACCATTGTGTTTTCAGCACCTAGACTAGTAGTGTCTGGTATTACTAAGTATCTGTTAAATATTTATTGAATTTAAAAAATGATTTGCTTGGTACTGTGAGTTAGAAATGCCTTTTGTCTTGTGATGGATTTGTCTAATGTCTCAGTCTTTCTCTGTCATTTCTAAATTTTGCAGATGGTCCATTGAAAGGCAAAGTAAAATTTCTGTTTTGTAGTGGTCACTCTAATGATGAAAGCAACCCAGGATGATGGGTTAGGATAATGTGCTGCAAGTCCTGTTTACATTTTCTTACACAGATTATGTATTCATTTCAGCAGCAACAGAGGGCTTGTTAGATCAATAATATAACATTGAAAAATCATTAAATGCCTATTTATATAGCAGCTCATAATGGCTTCTTTGGTTCTGTTACAAATTATCTTTTATTTACATTTAAGGATTTGGTTTTGAACTGACACTTAACTTTTTTTTGATAATGTTGAGCTCCGTCAATACTTTTCTAAAGGCATTTTGACATCTTGAGTACGTAGGTTCTGTTTTTAAAATGAGAAACCTTCTTATTCTAATTATTAAGATCTGTCTTCAAAGCACCACTTGGTTTGGCTTGGTAGCTGTTGTAAAGTGTTTGCTGCTGCTACAGAGATGAGGGTCCCATGGTGTCTGTAGAATGTTCAGATAAGCCCTACAAGGAATATAGGTAATATTCTTCCCTCCCCGACTCTTCACTTGGATAGTACACGGTCACACTGGGACTAGATGCTATGGAACAGACCACTTAGCATAACTGCTGTTGGTTGGTTGGTTATGTGCCATGGAGTCGGTTCCGACTAAGCGAGCCTGTATCAGGGTTTCTGAAGCTGTAAATCTTTACGGGAACAGAAAGCCTCATCTTTCTCCCGTGGAACAGTTGGTAGTTTCGAACTGCTGACCTTGAGGTTAGCAACCCAACTTGTAACCACTCTGCTACAAGTGCTCCTTAGCCATCACTGTTAGAGTCTTGAAGTAGTCATGTAAGAAATCGCCATTAGTGGTCAAATCCAAGCAAATCATTCATGTTTAGTAATTTCCTATTTCTGATGAAGTTTTGTTAAATGGGAGAAAGAGCTCTACAATATTTCAAGTAGGAGAACTTTATAATCATATTCTTAGTACTTGGGCATTGTCTATTGATTATCATTTTAGGATATTATTTCTCTGCCTATAATTTTTGTAAAAATGGCTTAAAATTTTTTAATTTGGGAGCTGGATTTTGGATCCTATGTGAATAGTACACGAAATTTTTAAAATCAGAGATTGTAAAAGGCACTTTAGAAGAGATCGAAGGAAACCTACTGTTTTAGTAAATCTAGCTCCAGTCTCTGTAGTTACAGAGTTCATCTGCCACTCCCAGAGCTGGTTCAGGATAATTTCTTGAGATGGGTGAAGAGCCTTGGCCTCACCCCAGTCCACAGTAGGAGTATGCTTGTATTAAATTACACTTTTTAAAAGCACAGCTTTCCATAGCGCTGAGCAGATTCACATAAGCATTGTGGATACAACTCGGCTGCGATGATTGTTCTGCACAGAATTTGCTAAAAGACTGCCTGTAACTCCCAGCCGTTCCTGTGTTGTTTATTACCCTTAGATTGTTTGCAGACTCGGTAGTGATAGCTCATTCCTGATACTGCTGATTTGGAGGCTCTTGTTCCTTGATTACTCTAGCCAAATCTGTCCGGCATTCCAAAGAACCAGCTTTTGGCATAATTAGTTTTTCTGTATTGCTTGCTCTGTTTTCTAGTTTGTTGCTTTTTATCCTTTTTACAATGCTTTAAAAATTTCAGCCTGACTTCCTAGAGATTGCCCCTGGGTCAGCATAGCTTGGTGGTCAGCCAGTGATTGGTCAGATGGAAATGTTATACCAGCTGGGTTGGGGCGTATACTCAAAGTTCCAGCAGTTTATAGATCTGCCCCAGGTTTTGCTTTCTGCTGGGCCTTCTCATCTCCCCTGCGGGTCCATAAAGCCTCATGCTCATGTAGGTAAATAGGTATGAAGACTCTCTCTGGGTCATTGATTTTGGCCTTTTTTTTTTTTCATTTTCTAATATAAATTATTTTGTTAACAATTATTTTAATGCATTGCACAGATTGTATGTTGCATTTTCGTTATCACTCTGTTAGAAAAATGTTCTAATTTCCATGGATTATTTAAAAGAAGTGTGCTGTTCAGTCTCCAAATGTTTAGAATTTTCCTAGATCTCTTGATGTTAATTCCAAATTTAGTTCTGCTGTGATTAGAGAT